ATATCAGCTTTCATAAATGAAATTTCACCTTGAGGAAACACTCTTTTAAGATCAATTTCTTTTGGTACAATAGGAGAATCAATGCAGTGAAATGGTTTTGGAGTTTTTCATCGATGATAAACATATTGTTTTTTGCCAATTTTTTTCTTCAAACTCATACCTAGAAATATTCTAACTTTTGTGTGCATGGCATGGAATGCTTAAACTTGGACAAAACAATTTTCAACATTGAACTCCATGCAACTCACAAGGGAATCAATATCTAGTTTTAACTAATAACATTTTCATTATATATTTGCATCGTATAGTACATATATACTATATATTATATTAAATCAAGGTTGTTTTTATGAACATTTTCATTGAAGGTTATTATTATCAACTGTTAAGAAGAACAAATGGCTGCTTGCGACAAGAAGAAGGTTGTGTTCATCATGGGATCAACTGGAACAGGAAAAACCAAGCTTTCAATCGACCTGGGCTCACATTTCCCCTCTCAAATCATCAATGCTGACAAGATCCAAGTGTACAAAGGTCTGGACATAATCACCAACAAGGTCCCGGAATCCGAGCGAAGAGGAATCCCACATCACCTCCTGGGAATCATCGAAGATCCCGAATTCGACTACTCTCCCACCCTTTTCTGCGACCATGTCATCTCTGCGATCGAACACATCACCCAACAAGGACACCTTCCCATCATCGTCGGAGGCTCCAACACTTACCTAGAATACCTTGTGGAAGATCCCACCTTGGACTTTCGTTCCAAACATGATTGTTGCTTCCTCTGGCTCGACGTGTCTCTTGATGTCCTCTTTCCCTATCTGGACAAAAGGGTCGATGAAATGGCGGACGCAGGGTTTGTGGATGAGACCAGAGAATACTTCCTTCCTGAGGCTGATTATTCTGCTGGAATAAGAAGAGCCATCGGCGCTCCTGAACTGCACGAGTATTTTAAGGTTGAGAACGATGTTAATGTGGACGATGAAACCAAACAAGAGTTGCTCAGAGATGCCATGCAGAGAATGAAAGAGAACACTCATACGCTGGCTAGAGTGCAACTTTCAAAGATACAACGCATCAATGATGAGCGTTCTTGGGGATTGAATCGTATTGATGCTACTGAGGTATTTGAGGCTGTTCTGAATGGAAGTGCGTATCAGACTTTATGGAAAGATTTGGTTTTCAATCCCAGCAAACAGATTGTTCAGAGCTTCCTTGAAGCCTATATGAGTGAGAGCAAAGCTGCAGAATAATTTTTTTTTGGCCACATAATTGGCGAATTTAAATAAGGTGGAGGGATATATTTACAAGACAGATTTTTAATTTACATATCTTTCTTCAAAACGTTGAAAAATAAGAGGATGTAATGTCTTCAAAGTTTTATCTTTCATGAAATAATAATATTATTTCCTTATTGTTATACGTACATAAAGATATATTTCAAATTTTCGATTCTCAAATACCAAACACTTAGATCTCCAATAACATACATAAACATAGTTTCAAGTAACATTATCTTGGGGTGAGAACATTTTTGCAACCCATTGTACAGTTTGTGTCACGATGTGAAATAAAATGATGAAAAAAGTATTCTTCCTATGAGGATTTAGTTTCAAAATCCTAATCAACTAGTATCAATTATCACCCTTTTACGTAATTTGAGTGATACAATATCAAAAGTGAAAGGAAACTATTTTTAAAATTAGAAATAAATAATAAAAACAAATGATTCTTGGACTTCAAGGATAAAATGGAAACTAGCTAGAATTATTATCTCCCTTGTATTTCTTGACATTCAATTCACCTCCTCTCTTAAATATTCTTAGTGAATGTGTTAGCCTTGAGTTCAAAAAGTACTTGCAAGTGCTCTCTAAAATCACGAACAACTATTCAGTTTCATTAATTCCTCAATCTCTTGTTACAAGTAGTAAAATACAAATTCTAAGAGCCAATCCTAATGTGACTATCCAAGATTGGCAAGTGTGTGTGTGTATCTATCTTACCAACAAAACTATTCATTCAATAATATACAAACTTTAAGTTTTGCTGATACAATTTTATCCCAGTTCTACATTCAAAATCTCTCTTAAACGTCAATTAAGTGATATAAATGGTGATTAAGCATTTGATGTCCTCCTGTAGGAAGGAGTTTAGAGGATCAAAGCTTAGAGTAGATATATGAAGGGGCCTATGTGTTTCTTTCTATGGAGGTGGTTTTATTTGTCTTTTTTCAAAATAAAGTTAAAAGATGATATCTAGACAAAAAGTTAAAAGACTAATTAATATCACATGTTATTTGATTTGTCTCTGATTGCTTTTTGGAGTCAGATGAGGTTCTTATGAGAAGAAATCCCCTTTTAAGGTAAGGCAACATCTTGCATCCAAAAGGATAATTTACTAGAATCGATCTTCTGCAATAATTCAACTGAAGATTTGATTGTAGCATGGAAAAGGAGGGTTTTAATTAATGAAGGTGCTATATTTTTTGCTCGTTAGTTTCAAGTCTCTTTCATGGCCATTCCATTTTGTGTCAAGCTCAATTTCAGGAGGAATTTTTCTCCTCAAAATTCTAACTTCTCCTAAATGCTTTTGAAGAGTTCTACTGAGAATCAAGTAGACTGGACTGACATGGAGGGTGGAGAATCCTTACAAAGTATATAACCACGCTTTTGAGGCTCAATATCGTATTTTCAAGAATATTCCTATAGGTATCCAGATGATTATTGAGGATGTTGGTCAATTACCTAATCAGTCATCCGTTTTAAGTTTTTTTTTTGTTGCCTGAAGTCCGTTTTAAGTAGTTTAATTGACCATATTTTATATTTTTCTCCAACTACTCTTAGTACTTCTATTTATTTTCTCGGTCGTAAAGAAATTTGAATCTTTTATACAAAAAAATGTTTGCACTTAACTTGAATGTATCCAAGGGTTAAAGAAAAAGATAGTAGTACCTTTAACTTAGTTAAACAACTTTCTAGTTTGTATATTCTGAATGAATGGAGAGCAAAACCGATGTAAAAAAAGAAAGAAAGAAAAGTTAGAAGCTATCTTTCTCAATTCTAATATGTAGATTATTATACTACTTCCTGTCCTCAATATAAAATTTAATTTATAGTGTAATTTGTACTACAAATTAGATATTATATTTAGAATTGGAGTAGTACTAAAGAACTTGAAAAATCATTTTTAATGTTAATAAAATAAAATAAATATATAAATAATAACACTGAAATAAAAATTGATAAAGTCTTATGTCTGACATGAGAGATTTATCATAGTTCAACCTAATTGACCCTTATATATGATATCAAATTCATAATTTTATTATCATCAAAATGACAATTCGCCATTTGATCTCAAAGTTTACAATCTTCATTTATCCTATGCATTCAATACGTGGAGTTTCTTGTATTTCAATGTTGCACGTGGTAGTTATAATTGAGTGATGATCTTTATTTACTTACTGGCGAAATTTAGAATCTTAAACACAATTAAAAGCAAACAATGTATGAGATGCAATATGTAAAAAGTATTATTCATTTGTTAAAAGGCTTAATATACAGATTTTGTAATTAATGTGTGAATATGTATCGATCTTCAATAAAACAAGTTTCTATCATTTGAAATGTGAATAAACGGGGACCCATATGGGAAGCGATAAAGGCTAATTTTTCTAAATTCAAGTATGTAACTTGTTGAACTTGCAAATTATTTTTAAATAGCAATGAAATTAAATTTTTATAAATAGTAAAAACGTTAAAATTAAAATTAATAAGATTCTTTTAATTTTGGATTGATTTGATTGAGTGAATTGGCTCAGTACATACTCTTTATTTATATCCAGAGTTTAATGAACATTTTCATGATTTTAATATACGTCAATCAACTTGTCAGTGGTGTAAACTTTTTAAATTGAATAAACGAAATGTCTAGTCTCTTCATCACTTTAGCTTATTTCTTCTTTTTTTTTAAAAAAAAAGGGTTTTCCTTATTTAAGCCTTATTTTTCAAAAAGGAAAAGGTAATCATGTTATATTTATCCATTTACCTCTCACAAAAGTTGAATAGGAACACTGTATGGTCATTCTGTATTTAAATTTAAAAAAAAAAACACTGTATGCATGGTCATCAATGGAGGATCTCATGCTATAATTCAAGTACAATGTACATCCTTAACCAATTAATATGGAGGGAAGATGATGCAGGTATAAATATAGGCCTATCAAAATGTTAAACACATAATTAGGAGCTCTTTGATGTGTCTTCCTCGTCTCAGCATTTCATCTAAAGTTTTCCTTCCAGGTGGTTAACATTGTTCATCCATAACTCTCTTCCTCTTCCTTCTAATTCTCGTTTTTTTTTCCCTTTGCCAGCCCTCCTTCTTCTCATTCTTCTTTCACATTTTATACTTGATTTTTTTTATTTATACTAGAAATTTTTTTTCATTGAATTTTGATGGCAAGCGTGTAAAGCTTGAGGTGAGAATCAAACCCCACATCTACCTAGTGCCACAAAGGGCACATCATCTTGTGCTAGTTAACCCAATGATCTTTAGCATTTATATTAGAAATTTTATATATCATGTTGGTAAAATGAAATTTCCCGTGTCGAGGAAATATTCTTTTAAGATCAATTTCTTTTGGTACAATATGTAGAACCAATGCAGCAAAATGGTGTTAGAGTTTTTTGAAAATAAACATATTGGTTCTTGCCAATTATTTTCTTCAAACACCTAACTAGAATTCTACTTTAGCGTGTATAGCATCGAATGCTTAAACTTGAACAAAACAAATTCAGTCCAAAAAAAAACTTGAACAAAGCATTAATTTTCACCATTGAACACTATACAACTCACAAGGGAATCAAGATCTAGTTCTAACTAATGACATTTTCATTATATGTGTCGTATAGTACATATATACTATATATTATATTAAATCAAGGTTGTTTTTATGAACATTTTTATTTCAGGTTATTATTATCAATTGTGAAGAACAAATGGCTGCTTGCGACAAGAAAAAGGTTGTGTTCACCATGGGATCAACTGGAACTAGGAAAACCAAGCTTTCGATCGACCTGGGCTCACATTTCCCCTCTGAAATTATCAACGCCGACAAGATCCAAGTTTACAAAGTTCTGGACTTAATCACCAACAAAATCCCAGAATCTGAACGACTAGGAATCCCCCACCATCTCCTCGGAATCATCAAACATCCCGAATTCGACTACTCTCCCACCCATTTCTGCGACCATGTCATCCCTGCGATCGAGCACATCACCCAACAAGGGCACCTCCCCATCACCGTAGGAGGCTCCAACACTTACCTCGAATACCTTGTGGAAGATCCCACCTTAGACTTTCGTTCCAAATTTGATTGTTGCTTCCTCTAGCTCAACGTGTCCCTTGATGTCCTTTCTACCTATCTGGACAAAAGGGTCGATGAAATGGGCGACGCAGGGCTTGTGGATGAGACCAGAGGATACTTCCTTCCTGAGGCTGATTATTCTGCTGGAATCAGAAGAGCCATCGGCGCTCCTGAACTGCACGAGTATTTTAAGGTTGAGAACGATGTTAATGTGGACGATGAAACCAAACAAGAGTTGCTCAGATGCCATGCAGAGAATGAAAGAGAACACTCATACGCTGGCTCGAGTGCAACTTTCAAAGACACAACGCATCAATGATGAGCGTTCTTGGGGATTGAATCGTATTGATGCTGCTGAGGTATTTGAGGCTGTTCTGAATGGAAGTGCGTATAAGTGTTTGTGGGAAGATCTGGTTTTTAATCCCGGCAAGCAGATTGTTCAGAGCTTCCTTCAAGCCTATATGAGTGATGGCAAAGCCGCAGAATAATTATCATTGTTTGGCTATGTAATTGGCGAATTTATATAAGGTGGAGGGATATATTTACACGATAGATTTTTAATTTACATATCTTTCTTCAAACCGTTGAAATATAAGAGGATGTAATGTCTTCAAAGTTTTAGCTTTCATAAAATAATAATAATAATATTTCCATTATCGTTATACATGCATAAATATATATTTCGAACTTTCGATTCTGAAATACTATAGCTTACATTAACATAGTTTCAAGTAACATTATCTTGGGGTGAGATCTTTTTCGCAATCCACTATACGGTTCGTGTCACGTACGATGCAAAATAAAATGATGAAAAAATTATTCTTTCCATGAGGATTTGGTTTCAAAACCTAATTACGTAGTATCAATTATCACAATTTTCTCTACTATGAGTGATACAAATTTTAAAAGTAAGAAAAAATCCCAAAAAAAATGACTGTTGAATTTTAAAATTCTAAATTAGTATTGGTTACTACACTTGTAAAGAAAATAACTACACTCAAAAAGTAAATAACAATACATTTTGTAGTAATTCTTGATTTGTCATTTTAAAATTCAACAGTCATTTTTTTGGGATTTTCCCTGAAAGTAAAAGGAAACTGTTTTAAAATTGGAAATAAATTAATAAAAAAATGATCCTTGGAATTCAAAGATAGAATGGAACCTGGCTAGAATTATTATCTCCCTTGTATTTCTTAACATTCAATTCACTTACTCTCATAAATATTCTTATAGAATGTGTTGGCCTATGTTCAAAAAGCAAATGCTTTCTCAAGTTAACAACAATTATTCAGTTTCATTAATTCCTCAATCTCTCACTACAACATATTTCTTAATATTTGACAGTTGTTTTTACTTATATTTGACAATTCCAAACTGTCAAATAAGAACCCGTCATATTTGCTATGTATAAAGACATATTTGCTATGTATAAAGACTACCCTTACTTGATGGTTTTTCAGAAGAACGGTCAAGTAAGGTAGCCTTACTTGACAGTTCTTGTGAAGAACCGTCAAGTAAGGGCAGCCTTATTTGACACTTTAAAAAAAAACAGTCAAATAAAATGATTTAATTACTTTTTTTATATTTATTATAACATGCATTATAATCAAAATGATAGCAAGAGAACAATATAAAATAAAAATGTTGTATTTATGGAATTCAAAATCCAATACATCACAGGTAAACATCATATAATTCTAAAGATATTAATCACTTAAGCACTCCCCATATAAAAATATTGTCCAATAAATTATTTGAATTAAAAAAAGTTTATCCTAACAAAATTTCCTAAATGTTGTTATTGATCAAATATCATAATCATAGCTCCTCTGTTTCCATATGCATATATCCATAACTATCCGAAGAAATCTAACTTCTCTTGCCTGAAACTGCAAAAGAAAAAAATTCCTAAAAATCATCACAAATATAATTAACCGATATGTGGCTAAATATAAGGAACAAATTTTGACTGAAACAGACTACTAATTTTATTTTTTTAATTAGCAAATAATTCCTAAAAATCTGTAACTAAATGAAATGTTGCTGCTAATGTGTCATATCTCAACAAACTAACTGATCATTGAAAATCAAATTTGATTGTCCATGAAGGACAGACGAAAAATCAGCATGTGATCCAGCTTTGTATAAAGATCTTCTTGTTCTTCAAACATTAGGTATGCAAATGCAGAAATAGTTTAGTGCAATTTACTTCTTCCAATAATTGTTCCTATCTCTTGTGTGGCTTTAAGCAACTCTAATGCAATTTCTTGGACTTGGTTTATCCTTGCAGAGTAATACAAACCTATCAGAAAATATTTATGACAGTTTTATGTTTAAGCAACAAGAACTCTTCTTATAATAGATATCCAATTATTCTCTAATGGAGAAAAATAGTTCATATTAGCACGCAAGAATTTAGGTACCTTAAACACTTTCCCATTATCAGCAAGTGAAAGAGTAATATCTCAGACAAGTCCCACCAGAGTACCAATTCGATAAAGGTCCTACGCATAGAAGATATTGTCAAGTGAAGAAAAGCTTAGGGAACACTTCATGCATGAGTTAAGGAGTAAACCTATGCAAGAACTCTAGAATGGCATATCAGAAAAGGGTTTCAAAATAAAAATTAACAGTAAAATTTAATAGCACCTACTAGGATGAGGATACAAGAAATCTTCTTCCAATATGGGCAAAGTTGATCATTATAACACTAATCAAATTTAAGTGAATATACATATTCAACCATTCACCTTCAAGACTACAAAAAGCAACAAGGGAATGTTAATATTCTTTATTGATGATAACAACTGGATAACCATTGATCCTTTTATATATTAAAAGCATTGATAATCAGCAAAGATGCATCCAATAAACCACATATTAATAGCAAGCCCGCACTTTGTTGTAACAGAGTGAAGATAACAAAACACTCAAAACTTGCATCCACTCAAAGGGACATACTTCAAACAGAGGCTTTCTAGCAACATATGCACTCTGCTCTTTGGAATGCATTATCACAGATAATGAACCAAATATTCTAATATGGAATCAAGAAGATTCACTGCACCTGTGTTTGAATTTATTTAATTAAAATTAAATTTGAAAAATCACACACTTACATATTAACAACATTTGTACTTGAATTCAAAAATTAGAAAATAAAAATGGAAGATTCATTAGCATTAACGGTTTTAGTACCATTTATGTAATGAATCAAAAGGCAAATCATCGAAAATGAACAATGTAAAGGTCATTATCTTAAAATAAATAGGGAAAAGGTGCAGGGAGAAATATAAATTGATAGGCAATAACATGGCATTCACAAGGTGAAACCGTGGAAGTCATATCAAGCCTCCCCAAAATTCATCGATCATTTCCTTTTCTAGTCTTTGCCATTTCACCAATCTCCTCTGCGACATGTCATTCCACCAATTAGGTTCCCTTATATCTCTTCCTAAAATGGGAAAGGAAAGGGAATGTGTGCAGCAAATCACTTTGCCAGCCAAGATAGAACTTGATTGTGGTGGGCGACCGCCTTGCCCAAGTTTCACAATGGCAAGGGTTACAAGAAGAGAGGTGGAAACCCTCAATAAATACTAGTATAAGAGAAAGCACTAAATCAAAGATAAGAAAAAAGGAGAATAGGAACTTGAAATGGCAAGTGATGATGTCGGCTAGGCTTCTCCCTTCTCTTCATTGTCACACCCTAGGACTATAAGCTCTTTGAAATCACTTCATACACAGTTCCAAAATCCACCCCAAACAAGCATTGGACAAAATACAGACCATATTGGAGGAATGCAAGAGTAGAGAGCAGGAGCAAGCAGTGATGGAGAAAGAACTAGAGGAAGTGGGGGATGGTGGTGGAGACTAGAGTCGATAGAGCTCTAAAAAAAAAAAAACCTAGGTCATATTGAGAATGAGGAAGAGCTTCGAAGTTGAGCTTCAAATGTTAAAAGTGTTAAATATATTCTAAAAATCAATATATTTATTTGACGGTTCTTAGATTCAACCATCAAATAAATGTTCTAAAATTTTTCCATCACAAATATTTGACGCTTCATATATTTAACCATTAAATACATATATAATATTTGACAGTTTTAGTAAATAATCGTCAAATAAGTGTTTTTTAATTTCCACCTCGTCTTGCTTAGCGTTTTTTTTTTCAGCAACTGTCAAGTATCAAGCGTTATATATGATAAAATCTGTAGTGGTGTCTTGTTACAAGTAATAAAATACAAACTCTAAGAACCAATCCTAATGTGACTATCTAGGATTGGCAAGTATATATATCTCTATCTTATCAACAAAACTATTCATTCAATATATAAACTTTAAGTTTGGCTGACACAATTTATCCAAGTTCCGCATTCAAAATCTCTCTTAAACATCAATTAAGTGAATATAACATAAAAATGGTGATTAAGCACTTGATGTCCTCTAGCAAGAAGGAGTTTGGAGGATCAAAGCTTAGAGTGGATATATGAAGGGTGCGTATGTGTTTTTCTATGGAAGTGGTTTTATTTGTCCTTTTTCAAAACAAAGTTAAAAGATAATATCTAGACAAAAAGCTAAAAGACTTAATATCATATGTTATTTGATTTGTCTCGGATTGCTTTTTGGAGTCAGATGAGGTTCTTATGAGAAGGAATCCCCTTTTAAGATAAGGCAACATCTTGCTGCAAAAAGATGATTTACTAGAATTGATCCTCTACAATGATTCAACTGAAGATGTGATTATAGCATGGAAAAGGAGGGTTTTAATTAATGAAGGTGCTATATATATTTTTTCCTCGTTAGTTTCAAGCCTTTTTCATGGCCATTCCTTTGCGTCAAGCTCAATTTCAGGAGGAAGTTTTGTCCTCAAAATTCTAACTTCTAAATGCTTTTGAAGAGCTCTACTGAGAATTAAGTAGACGGGACTGACGGGGAGGGTGTAGAATCCTTACAAATTATAACCACGCTTTTGAGTCTCAATATCGTATTTTCAAGAATATTCCTATTAGTATCCAGATGATTATG